GTACTCATAGTTGTGCATGCCGTAGTCGCTTGACCATGGACGTCGCATCCCTACAAAGCAGGGACCGAGCACGCCGAGTTCTCACCGGACCAGTATTAAATATTAAGATAGTCAGATGGGACCAGTACGGACGTTAGTAGGTGATAAACTGAGCAGAGGCCCTTACAGCTCAACAACAACAGCAAAAGCAATGGAGAGCTCACATACACAAAAAAAATGGATCAACACTCGCAAACTACGGGTCGACAGCAGGGGCAAAGGCCGGGGTACGCAAGGGGAGACAGACCACTCGTGTCGCACCTAGCACGTTGCCGTCTTCAGTAGCCAGAACCACCTCCAAAGCGCCGGACGCCGTAAACTGTGGCTCGAGCACGGCCATGGCAGTAAGGGGAGCCGCGTTAGCTCCCAACCCGGCAGCCATGCTGAAGTGCCTGTTGTTGGCATGGAACGGCAGAGAGGGGGTCGAGCAAGTCAAAACGTTACCTAGGGCAACCGCTCAGCAAACCTCAACGCGAAATACTTGCGGCTCCTGGCCATTGAGCCCATCTATAGACCCCCCCCTACCTGTAATAGCGTCGGAAAAAGGATTGCTTCTCTGGAACAAATGTGGGAAACAAGCATTTTCACGAAGGATCTTGTACTTGGTGTGACCCTCTCCCTCACCATGACAATCAAAGCAGCACTTGACTACCACGGTTGCTCCTACCAGACTTGGGGGGGGCGGAGACAACAACACGGTGGACTGTTAAGAAGCCGATACATATCCATGGTCGTCATGCTCCGGCTAGAAGGCAGAACAACCATGCCGCCTCTCCGCCAACTCGGTACTGCCACAACTCCCTGCCGCTCCGACAGCAGAAATTCCAGACAAGAAGAGACAAGCCTGCCTGCTAAGAGAAACTACTAACCGAAAAAGGCGTCAGAGAGATGGAACAGGTCGAAAACGACACAAGAATATCAACAGCACGAATTCATCCAATAGCAGCGCACCTTTTACGGCAACACCACCCGGAACAAAATGACAAAAAAACAAACAGAACGAAATCGTATGTTACACAGCAGAGATATGTATCACCTTGGCTCAGAGGAGTGTATGCCGGACACCGCCTTGACCTTCCCGCTCCCCATGAGCGCCACCACCCCGTCCCCCCACACCTCGCAGGCCGCCACTCTGTCGGGCTCCGAAGAACGCCTCGAGGAGTCGTCCACCAGCTCCAGAGTCTTGGACAACTCCCCCTGACACAAAGAACATTTTTTGCAAAAAGACGGGCACGCCAATCGTAGTGGTTGGTGCAGGGGATTGGTTTTCCAGGGCAGTGAGGGCGAAAAAAAAAAAAAAAACGGAACAATTTGTGCGGGAATAATAAGTCCACAGCTCCAGAGGTTTGGACAACTCCCCCTGAAAAAAAACAATTTTAAATGGACACGCCAATGGTAATGGCTTTCGATTCAGGAGATGGTTCTGTGCAAGTGGAGACGAAACGACGAACAGCGGAAACACTTGCTGTAGAAGTTTGGCGCAACACACGGGGATCTGTGCCAAGGTGGCGGTGAGGGTGTGCCGAAGTAGGGAGGCTGCCTGATGTTCAGAAAAAATAAAATATGCACATCATGAAAGCAGTTATCATGAGTGCCCGTTGGCGGGCATGTGTTGTACAGTAAGCCTGCCTGTACAACGAGTTTGGAGTGGGTGGCAGCCACGGCAGCTATTTTGGCTATCTGCAGGTCGCCATACGTTTTCGACAGGGATAGCACTAGTCGCGACGGTCACACCTCCTTCTCAGAGCGACGCACGTAGCACCCAGCAACGTAAGTCGCCGTTCGGTGCCAAGCATGCAACCAACGGGGGGACGCGGTCTCAACAGCAGCAACAGCCACAACTCGGGAACCAAACAAGCTAAAACATCTTTCTTCGAAAAAGCTTAAATACTTTCTTCGAAAAATCAAAAATATCTTTCCTCGAAATCTCTAAAACATATTTCTTCGAACAAGCTAGAACATGTTTCTTCGCGCGTGACACCACCGCCCACACCACCTAGTAGAACAAACGTCGAGGTAACGGCGTGCTTTCGACACCAAAAAAAATCCCGATCAACCAGGGGGAGAAAAACCGTCGCCGCCATCACCGACCAACCACAAAGAAAGGCCCAAAAAGCAGCCGCCCGCCTTACCATGATGTCGCGGACCTCGACTCCCCCCCTCTCTCGGACCATGACCAGCATCTCGCCGTCCGTCCACCCCATCGTCAGCAGCCGGCCTCGCTCTGAAGCCGTTCCCGGTGCCTGCACGGCTTTGTCTAGACGGGTCTCGGAAATCGTGCCCCCGGCGCAGTTGCACACCCGGAGGGTAGGGACGATGGAGTCCTTGGCAGACATCTGAAAAGGAGGCATTGCCCGTAGCGTGCAAGGGGTGGAGGGTGGGGGGGGGGGCATCTCTCATGTTTTGCATGCCTCAGCGGTTAGACTGTTGACCACCGGGGGGGGGGTTGTACTCATAGTCGTGCATGCCGTAGTCGTTAGAC